TTTGTAGTCAATGATGACGTTGACTGGCTGTTTGTAGTCAATGATGACGTTGACTGACTATTTGTAGTCACTTATATATACTCATGTTGATTGTTTTACATTTTTATTGTTATCATGGACTCAGATTATCTAATCTAATTCCGTGTTGATATATACTCATGTTGATGTACTCGCTATTTGTAGCCATTTATATATACGCATGTTGATAGTCTCGTACAGAACTTAAGCATTGTTGAGAGAGGTCTTTAATGAAAGTAACTGGTGTTGTTTATATCAATTATTAAGACTGATTATTGTTAAACTTGTTGTATATTTAACAAATAATCATCATTTGTGTGTATGTTATGATGGAATTATAAAGAGGGTGAAAAAATGTTGGAAAAAATAATTAACGAAGGCCACTTGTGTCTTCATTTCACCCTTTCTGACCCTGGCAGTTGTCCTATTCGTGTATACATGAAATAACTTGGATCTTTGGGAAGGGCTTTTTCATTTTTAGTTGCCATTTGTTCGACAGACAATAAACAATAAACACTGACATCAATCTTTATGCCAGATTTTAATTTCAATCAATCAGATCCACCAATCTGTTAAATTGACATATGACTCATCAACAGATGAAATCAGCATTTGACAGATTTACAAACAATATTTTAAGTCACCCTGGTAGTAAGTTGAGCAGAACAGTTTGACCACAAGCTTGATAGGTTTCAACAAGATCTATAGGTTAAATATACAATGTATGCCTTTTTTTTGCTTGGTAGTTTAAATTATCTGCCTGGCTCGTAGAAGACAAATAAGTAATTCTGTGCCAGAATCTGGGTCTTTAATACATTGGGTTGCTGGGAAGACAATGTAATTTATATATGTTAAAGGAACTTAGTAAATTTTATTAAAGACCAGCTTTTAAAAATCAGTTAGTATAAATGTATTTGATAACATGGAGTAAAAGATTTTACATAAGATCGAGTATGTGTGTTTGACAACCTCCGAGCACATGTTTGAATGATTGTTGATAAGATTATAGAATGGTGTATGTAACGTACTGGTGATCAGGTTAGATTATAGAATGGTGTATGTAACTTACTGGTGATCAGGTTAGATTATAGAATGGTGTATGTAACTTACTGTTGATCAGGTTAGATTATAGAATGGTGTATGTAACTTACTGGTGGTCAGGTTAGATTATAGAATGGTGTATGTAACTTACTGGTGATCAGGTTAGATTATAGAATGGTGTATGTAACTTTCTGGTGATCAGGTTAGATTATAGAATGGTGTATGTAACTTACTGTTGATCAGGTTGTATTGCTATATTCACTTAAGTGTAGAAACTTATAAACATAAAGTTGATGATTTGATTATATGAGAACATATCATTATCCTTATTTTTTGTGTCCAATGTCTAGTTTTCCTGTTTTAACATACAATATATACTGCTTCGTATACTTCAACCTCATAATACCGCCATCATCAATTTTGTTGTTTTACAGCCAGTGTTTAGTGGACTATACAAAACTGTCCCAGTAATCAATCTGTCTTACTATCCAGACATTTTACTGGGAACTAAGTGACTGAATTATCGGGACGACACTGTAATTTGTTCTACATCCCTCATCTGTATGGCCACGAGAATAAAACTTTTTATTTGTGAATACATGTGTAATGTTTTATTGACAACCTTGATGTACATGCAGTTGTAACATACCTTTCCATTGGTTCCTTTTGGTGAACATTTAGTTGTAACATACCCTTCCATTGGTTACTTTGATGTACTAGTTGTAACATACCCTTCCATTGTTTACTTTGATATACTAGTTGTAACATATCCTTCCATTGGTTACTTTGATGTACTAGTTGTAACATCCTGTTTCATTGGTTACTTTGATGAACAATTAGTTGTAATATACCTTTTCATTATATATAGTTACTTTGATATACATTTAGTTGATGATTTAAACGTTGTATGTACATGTGTTACACATAAATGATAGTGTCTTATACCTGCTGTTGAGAATGTTGAATGTTTACAAAACAACTGACCACAGTTTGTATGTTGTTTTGTTGATAACCTATGATATTATTTGTTACAAATATTTTTTATGATACTTAACTTTATATTTAAACATTTCACCTCCATCGAGTCATTCTCTTTTAATTCAATATTTCTCTTTACAACAAACTCAAAATCTTTTCTATATTTATTTTAAAATGTTATTTTATGGATATTACATAGATATGTTTTCCTCTATTAAAGATTTTACATGCTATAACTGAAATACTGGGGAAGGTTGCTCAGCGTTCTTAATTTGCTCCTTAATTACTGAAGTGAGGACTAAAAACTCATCATGTGCTGTTCCTTTAATATGTTTTATTACAAATACCACTGTAATAAGGATTGTATAACACTAATACTTATCCTGAACAAAGTTTTATGTGTTTATTTGGTACTCTGCATAATGGGCATTTTAAGACAGTATAACACTATCTAGTCTAGTTGCTTTGGCACTAAATTTGCAACCTCTTCTCCTGCTACTGTTACCAATGTAAGCTGACATCTTTATTTTTGCTTTAATATTTTTGTGTTCTGTACATGTATGTACCCTACATCGTATGGTGTAACACTAAATATTATCATGTACATGTGCTATACATTTATATATGTATATTGTGACGACACACATGTAAGTGTACTTGGTTAGTGTAACCATGGTGACTAATATCGTGTATTGTACACTCTAGTGTACCATGGTGACTACTATCGTGTATTGTACGCTATATCGTAACCATGGTGACTAATATCGTGTATTGTACACTCTAGTGTACCATGGTGACTACTATCGTGTATTGTGCTATCTAGTGTAGCATGGTGACTACTATCGTGTATTGTGCCCTCTAGTGTACCATGGTGACTACTATCGTGTATTGTGCACTCTAGTGTAGCATGGTGACTACTATCGTGTATTGTACGCTCTAGTGTAGCATGGTGACTACTATCGTGTATTGTGCACTCTAGTGTACCATGGTGACTACTATCGTGTATTGTACGCTCTAGTGTACCATGGTGACTACTATCGTGTATTGTGCACTCTAGTGTAGCATGGTGACTACTATCGTGTATTGTACGCTCTAGTGTAGCATGGTGACTACTATCGTGTATTGTGCACTCTAGTGTACCATGGTGACTACTATCGTGTATTGTACGCTCTAGTGTACCATGGTGACTACTATCGTGTATTGTACACTCTAGTGTACCATGGTGACTACTATCGTGTATTGTACACTCTAGTGTACCATGGTGACTACTATCGTGTATTGTACACTCTAGTGTACCATGGTGACTACTATCGTGTATTGTACACTCTAGTGTACCATGGTGACTACTATCGTGTATTGTACACTCTAGTGTACCATGGTGACTACTATCGTGTATTGTACACTCTAGTGTACCATGGTGACTACTATCGTGTATTGTACACTCTAGTGTACCATGGTGACTACTATCGTGTATTGTACACTCTAGTGTACCATGGTGACTACTATCGTGTATTGTACACTCTAGTGTACCAT